GGGGGGGGGGGGGGGGGGGGGGAGCCTCATGCCTCATGCCTCATGCCTCATGCCTCCAGTCTCTGCAGCCCCTGACTGAGCCGTGTGCTTGTTTTACAGCACTACATTTACTGGAGGGTGGAGCAGCCTGGTTCTAAATTTGACTGGATATCAAAGCCCTGCTTGGTGCTCGGGGGCAAAGCCTGCCTACAGGCTACAGGAGTGAGTGCCTGGGAGCCGCCTATCCTCATGCCTCATGCCTCATGCCTCATGCCTCCAGTCTCTGCAGCCCCTGACTGAGCCGTGTGCTTGTTTTACAGCACTACATTTACTGGAGGGTGGAGCAGCCTGGTTCTAAATTTGACTGGATATCAAAGCCCTGCTTGGTGCTCGGGGGCAAAGCCTGCCTACAGGCTACAGGAGTGAGTGCCTGGGAGCCGCCTATCTCCTGGGGGGGTCACAGGTCTGTCTGTGGGGCTGGGATGGGGAGAAAGGAAGGTTTGTCCGGGCCTCTCAGCTCAGGAGTGTCCGTGGCAAACAGACACTGCAGTCCCCTGGCTGTGGCCAGAGGGAGGCTGCAGTTCGGGGGACTGGACTCTTCTGCAGCAACCAGGGAATTTGGAGTAACCATCATGGCAGTGTCGTGAGCAGCCATAGAAACTAGGGTGGTAAAGAGTTAACCAGTTAACTGGTCACCCAGTAAGCATCAGCCTTACCGACATGCTTACTCGGTTAACCAGCGGCCCGGCCCAAACAGCTGCCCACAGCACGGCAAGCTCAGCCCCACCTCACTGGAGCAGCCTCCGGCATGGAGGGCACGGCCAGGCAGGAGCAGCCCCTGCCTGCAGGATCCCAGTTAATTGGTTAACTTTTAAAATAGGATTTTACATCCCTAGTAAAAACTGCCTCTTCCTTCATCCAGTGCCATGGATATAAAATGGGGATCCAGAAGCCGGGGTGGGGCATGAATGAACTCCCATGGCACTGCCTGATGAGCTCCAGGGGAGCCATTGAACCAGGAAGGTGAAGCTCCCCGCTCTCTCATCTCTCCCAAGAGAGCAATTTATTGCTTGGCTGCATATCAGACCCCTTGACGAGGTGCGTGACTCCCTCTGGTGGCTTGTTCCTTGTTCCTGCAAAGAAAGAGTCCTCCAGTTGACCTTGAGTAGCCGCGATACCGGCATAAACAATAGCTGGCAAGATCCCACCGCTTTACCTTTGTGATTTATTCAAGCCCCCTGGATACCAATGAACTCACTGTACTTGGTGCTGTTTCACCTGCCATACAATGGGAGCTGCGGACGCACTGGGATGGAAAGCTCTCTGGTTTCACGGCTACCTGTCTCTATCCTCTGCTAAAGCCCTTGTTCATGTCGTCCTTTGGCAATGCTCCTTGGCAAACCCTGGCTGATCCCTGCCGCAGCAGGACCCCCATGAGACCTCTTTTCCCCTTTCTCCAGCTGTCGGACGTCAGAGCTGCACAGCGTGCGCACGTCAGGCCGACTGGCACGCTGCGCCCTGACACCGGCCACTCCTGTGCAAACAGGCCCAGCCCAGGGAAGGGAATGGTTGTGACTGGGCTGGAATTGCTCTGCATTTCCTGTGGAAACGCTCCTTCCCACTGGCCTTCCTGTGGGCCATTTCTGCTGAGCGAGGATTTCCATGGGAAGGGAAAACAGGCTTCACACCTGGAGGGCCACCTCCTCCCCATGGCACGCTGCAGCGCAAAAATATCCCCGGGGGGACCCTCCGAAATGACCCTCAGCAGGAGGGAGATTTGTAGATTTCCCCCTCTGCTCTCTTATCCTTGCCCTGCGTCATTGTGTGCACTCCCACTTCCCTGCCTCCTCCCTGCTAGTCTCCCCTGCCTTTGGCTGCTTCCCTGGGGAACCAGGTGTGGTGAGAGGTGCTGCAGATGAGCATGCAGCCAGGCAGGCTGCGATGGTCTCTCGGCTTACTGCTCCCAGGGAGCTGGGCATATGGCCATCTGAGTGAAGTCCAGCAACAAGAGATTTGAGTGCTGGTCATGCTGCCCTGCCCTGCCTCTGCAAGCAGAAGTTGACTTTGCTCCACCCTAACAGTGGCAATGTCCTTTCTCCCTCCCAGGGAAGGATCTGGACTACATGTACGTGAACACAGCGGCCCTGCACAATGGCACCAGCTTCGTGGAATCCCTCTTTGAAAAGTTTGGTATGTGCAGCTCAGCCTGCTAATAGCCAGCCCAGAAACCGCTCCACTCCTCACTGGCCATGCAGCTGAAGTGCTGTGGCTTGCTAACTATCACCCCAGCCTGGGAGGCTGAGACATCAACTCCTGTAACCCCGAGTGGAGGGCCAACTCCCTCTGTGCTGGTACTGAAGCCCCATCCTTTGAATGGCCTGTTACTGGGGGTTCTTGTTCTCTTTGTTTGCTGTGACAATTAAAGCTCCCAGGGCAGGTATAGAAAGAGCAGGGTACAACCTGGGTATAATGGAACCAATCACAGCTCCAATAAAACCAGATATGCTGCCAAAAGTGGGGTGCGACCCACTGCTGTCACACTGGTCTATGAAGCCCCTTCACCCCCAATACCTAGCTCACTTGGGAGTACCCAGATACAAAAGCATCTGTAGAAACCCCAGAGCTTGCTCGCTTGGGAAGGTGATGTGTGTAGTGGAGTAGAAATGACATGTGACAACCGGCCACTTCTGGTGGGGCTGGGGATCGTCTGTGTGACACTGAGGAATAGAGAGGCCTTCCCTGAAGATCAGCCTGGGGAGCCCTGTCCCTGGGATCACTGCTTTGCTCAGTGTCTCTTCTCTAAATCCCCTCCAGACTGTGACCTGCGGGGTCTCCATGACATGCAGGAGGACAGTGGAGATGCCAGTGAGGGCATTGGCCTAGAGCTCGCAAGAAGCCATCCATGCAAAAATGTAAGTCCAGTCACCTCCCAATCTCCACCCCCAGATCCTTGGGCTAGTCTGGCACGGGACCGTGAAATGACAAGAACCAGAGGCAGTTGGGTTGGAACGGAACTATAGCAGCATATTAGAGCCATCTGGGTTCCTGGGGGGCTGGGCTGGGCTTCTCAGGCCACAGGCCCTGCCTGCTCTGAGGTGGAAGGAGACAGCTGAGGGGGGGAAGGTCTGGGTTCTGAGTGTGATGTCTGCTTGGATGGGGAGAGGCACACACAGATCCAGAACGTTGGAAGAGGATGGGGAGGAGACTTGTTACCCTTTTCTTGCCATCGAGGGGCCATCAACAAGTCTTGTTCCCACATACACCCTGGAATTCAATGCTCCTTCACTCTGTCTAATCCACGCTGCTCTCGCTCTCCTTTGCAGGCTCCCAGGGACCCTGCTCCACCACTTCCCACAATCCCCCCACCTGAAGATTACTATGAGGAGGCCCTGCCTCTGGGCCCTGGCAAGGCACCTGAGTACATCACCTCCCACAGTGAGTCTGACCCTGGTACAGGAGGCACCCAGGAGGAGGGGACTAGAGAGCACCCTGGCTGGCCCCTGGTATGTCTGTGAGGCTCTGCAGCTCCCATGCCAGCCTTTCCAGGAGCCACACCATGGGCAGACCTGGGGTGGGGACATTGGCACTCCTGTCCCTGTCCCATCCCATGGGGTGGTGGCACTGGGAGATGTTTGCACCCACTCTGCTGGAAATGCCTCCGTGAGGGCTGAGTGACCCGTGCTGAGAGCCTGATGCCAGACAGCCTCTCCCACAGCTAGCCTGGTGGCTTAGAGCAGGGAGTGGGGGTGACTAAGGGGCAGAGGACTCAGAGAGACTCTGAGCTGTGTCAAGCCCTGGTTTCTCTCCACCGCCTTTGGAATGAACCAAGCCCCAGGCCTGGCTCCTGCCGCGTGCTGGGAGAGTGAAGGGGATCGCTCACTGGGTGGCTGTCATCCAGTAGCAACACCTGCCAGCCCTTGAGGCTCCCCAGAAAGCCCTGTCCAGCACTCTTGGGCAGGGCTCCAGCAGCCCCAAGGGAAGGAAGAAGCAAAGAGTTTTTTCCCCAAGGTGAGGGGGGGGTTTGCTTTCTGTCCTCTCAGGCGGAGGATCAGCCCCTCAAATGCTCCCTCCTCTCCTGGCTGCTGAGCTCTGTGCCTGGGTGAAGGGCAGCTGGGAGGTGAGGGGAGCGCTCCCAGGCTCGGTGTGTGCTGAGCTTCCCCAGGGGAGGCTGCTGTGACCTTGGAGGCATGTCAGGGAAGGAGCCAGGTGCTTTTCCCAAATCATGTCGCTTGGCAGTCTCCAGTGGGCAGTGCTGTCTGGTGGCGGAGGAGGAGAGGGAATTTTTCTGCTGCCCAGGCTTCTTCAGATTAGTCTGTGGGCAAAGTCTGTCCCCTTCTCCCACCCCTTCGAGCTTCCGCTCTAGCTGCACCCATGTCTGATCTTTTAAACTTGGCCTGTCTGGGGTTGGCAGCTGAGAGCACTCCAAGGCACAGCATGACTTGCTTCAGTTGGACCCTGTCACTGAGCCACATGTGGGCCCAGTTAATATCCCAGACCTTCCGCAGGGGTCTCCCTCATCACAAACGTCACACCCTCTGCTCTCTCGGCAGATAGCTCCAGTCCCCCCAACTCAATCGAGGACGGCTACTATGAGGATGCAGACAGCAACTACCCTGTTACCAGGATGAATGGAGAGCAGAAAAACTCCTGTAGGTACCAGGGCAAAGGCACTTCAAGACAGGCACCTAACTGGGGGAAAGCCAAAGGCAATGAGCCATCAGCCTGATGGATGGGGATGGGGTGGGGAATTCTACGCAAAGCCAAAGAGTACCTAGGAGCCTGCATGGACCACAGCCCATCAGTGGTAGTGCTGTGGCCTTCAAGGTTGGAATCGCTGTAGGTGTGAGGAAGCAAGCCGGGTTCTGTTTATTTCAGGAAGTGTATCACCATGTACAAGAGACACTCATCTGCTGCTCCGGGAGCCTTTGGCTTGAGTTAAAATAACAGAGCAATGAAAACAAAGCCAGCAGCAACCCCAGAAAAGCTCTAGCACAGCCCAAGAGGTGGGACTTTCCTCATTCATTCTCTTCAGCTGTTTGGGCAAAGAGCTGCATCCCGGAGTGTCCCTCGGAGGTCAGCAGTCCCTGAGTAATCCAGACATGGACGCTGGTCTTACACGGGCTGCTCGGCAAACAGACCTTTTGCATGTCCTAGCCACTGAGTTCTCCAAGAGCTTTGCCCCATCTAAAGCAGAAGGTTTGTCACACACAAGGGGCCACTGAGAGCCCTCCATGCTTTGCATATTTAATAAAGAGAAGAGGCAGG